TATCACCGCTATCGAGGGCATATAAGGATTATCCAGAACATTTTGGAGAGGTGCATGGCGGCTAGGCTGACTTCTTTTTCATACACCTAACCTTTTTTTTTTTTTTTTTTGGAGCGCTCCAGCAACTGTGCAATATTTACAAGAAGAATTGAGCAATAATTTCTGCCCTTTCAGTACATTATCAAAGCTTTGGCTCCCACACATGAAGCTGCTGAGAGAATTGGATTCTAGCTTAAAAAGCGTTCTAGAGTTTGACAATTCCAAAATGACGTTGTTGATATGCAAATACAACGCATTTCACATGTATCAAGAACAGCATCACAAACGGAAAACCTATGAAGAGGTTTTTGATGAGATGGAAATAGCGCTGTACCAGCTCGTAAGAGAGGAGAAGCGACACATCAATGAATTAGTCACGAGCCCTACGATCTCTGGGCTTTCGACCTTCATCAAATTGTGGCCCAAAGAGATTGGTGATGTTGGCCACCGAAACTACTCTATTGCAAAATATTTCTTTGATGCTTCGGGGCTTAATTCTGGGTGTTTTTGAGCCCGTTTGACAGCAATCAAGGCATTCCTATCGATAAGTATAATGAAGCCGGAGACTTCGCTTAGTACATTTATGCGAAGGGACTGTAGCTCAATCAATCATCTTGAAAATCTTTCAGAGCGCGCTAGACGAAGTACGGTATGCTTGGCCTAAAGATAAACCGACCATTGTTCAAGATACCCTTGTAGGCCTGGGCCGGAATTGCCCAAGAAAAATAGCAGCATTTATCGGTATCCTGGAGAGCAGCAGGAGTCGGAAGACTGAGAGAATTGTCAGAATACATGCTAGCCTAAGTCCCTTTGGGATCATTGAAAAGATTCTTAACTATGGCCGGAGAGCAACTGTGGTTCGGGTAATGCGTTCAATGAATTTGTGGAAATCCTTCATTAATAATGACCGTTTATTCACTCAATGTATTTGTAAGATCACGTGATGACCATAGTACCCTAGAGTTCTAATTCAAATAGAGAGTCAACTAACGGATCGATGTGGAATTATGAGGATTATTATAAGCCATTTATTGTACTTGTGATGTGACTTCGTGTCTAGAAATCCTTCTAAATCTCGGCCCATATATAGATTGCTTTTAGGCAATCTCTTCGTCTCTAGCAGAGGTTTTCTGTCCAAACCTTTTTAAAAAAGCCTTTTTCAGTCCAAGATAAAGAAAGCAGTATATATTTTTAGAGAAATATTAGGTCCGCCTTAATTAACTAAACCATCAGAAAGGAATTCGAAATGGCAAAACAGAAGATCCACAGGCAGTGCCCCGCTCACTGCATGAATCACACCTGAAAACCCCAGTTGTTACCCAGAATTTTCTACGTGTATTGCCCAAGTACGATAGGAACATGGTGAGGGACCTGAGGATCGAACTGCGCACCATGGGTCTTGATTGGTACAACATTTCAAACCCGCCATTAACTCCCGCCATAAAGTACTTGAAATGATCGTTCCTAATTTTAATTTATATAGCCAATTTATGTGCCTTGAATAACTAGAAAGGGCCTTATGGGAAATGGCTCATATGCGTGGGCGTGCATTATATGCGATCAGTGAAAGCACTGACACAGGGTTCTCTCGAACGCGAGGACTCAGCAAGACCCCATTTCCCCTAAGCCCCAACACAGAAGTCATTCACCTCTTCCGGGAATATATACTTCTTCCATAACAATTAATCCTACCAAACATATATTCAAGCACCACCTCAAGATATGCTCTCCGTAGCGCCCCAAACAAGCTCTTTAGGGATAGAAAGCCCGCAAAATGCTCTTCAAGCAAACTTCAACAGCATCCACACACTCCATCGG